TCACAACCCTGGGTTTAGCAGGCCAATGCTCAAGCCACTGAGCTATCCCTCCCCCCACAGTTAAAGTGCCGCCCCCCCCCGCCTCCGAAATTTGAAATGGCACCACTGTCTCTGATACCATTTCCTGCCCTGGAATTCAGACAGATCACTCACCGCCGGGCTGTAAAACCAGCAGGAGGAAGAGAAGGGAAGGCCGTCGAGCCCCCTCCATCCTGACAGCGAGGGGCAGGCAGAGCGGGCGGCCGTCAGTCCGTATAACGGGTGTCCTGACCCAACAGACCCAGAGCCGCAGCGGGTTGGCCGGCAGGGTTTGTTGAGTGGCCGATCCCTGATGGTGCCGAGGGGCTGCAGAGAAATGACCCGCCCCACAGCTCTGCAACTTCCCCCGCGAGACGCTCTTTCCTTTTGTGGTAAGTCGCGCAATGAGCTCAAAGCAGCCCAGGGCGCTGGGTTGGGGACGGCTCCTCTAATTGCTCAGGGCGGCGGGTGGGTCTGAACCAGACACGGCTCCTGAGATATTGGATGGTTCTGTCTATTGCACCGGAGAGCCTGTCACGCCAGGAATTCTCAGTTACCCCGGGGCCCCTTGACACGGCTCTGACAAAGGAAAAGGCCTTTGATGGGGCACCCAGTACATTGACACCCACTGTCAGGGCGCTTTGCACAGCCAGGGTTGTGTGACGGGGGCTTGGCATGAATGAGAATCTGGCCCTGCGTCCCGGGCAGCTGTGATCCCCTCTGAACGGAGGGTCTGTAGGTTCTCTGCTAGACAGAGGCCTACACAAAAGAATTGAAGGCACCTCCCCATGGCTGGCAGCTCAGTGCTGGGACAGGGACACAAATCCGGATCGGGTGTGAGCAGCAGGTGCTGAGCAGTGTGGGGAAGATGGTGACTGAGCCTGGGCCCCGAGGAAACCCCGCAGTGGGTGTGATGCCAGTAGCAGGGTTACCCTGGCGATACAAAGATCATGACCCTGTGGAGTGCAGAGGTGGAGACTTTATTTACATGATGGAAAGTTATCCTGTGGAACTCATTGCCACTGGATATTATCGCTCTGTCACGCTTTTGCAGGATTAAAACCCAACACACCCTCGACCTGTCTGAATCACAAGGACATTGACGGTTCTGCTGGGGAGGAGAGATAGAATGTGGAAGGGACATTAACTCTTTGGCACCAGGGTATAAACCAACTTCTCTCTGTGCGTGGGGTGAGGAAAATTCCTCATATGGGCAGGTTATTCCAGTATTGCCCACTAGGGGGAGTGTTTTGCCTTCCTCTGAATTATCCGAGGCAGGGCAGGGCTGGAGCAGGGATGCTGGTTTAGACTGGCCGGGATTCTGATCCCATGTGGTAATTCCTAAGGGCTTGTCTCCACAAGGGCTTGGTTTAGAAACGGAGACAGTTAAAGAGGTTCAGGGGCTGCACCCAGAGAAGCCCCTTTCCACTGAGACAAGGGCATCCCCAGAAACGGAGGCAGCGCTTTCATTGTACCAGTAGAAAATCCCCCACTGACCTGTAGAGTGATTCTGGTGCAGCAGCTGGGTCTAGACCAGGCCGGAGTCCCCTGTTTTTATGGCCAGTCCTGGGTTCACAAGGCAGCTGAGTTTCTTCCTGGCCAAACTCCTTGGTCCTGGCTCTCCATCGCCCTGCCCCGCACAGTCATCGGCCCCAGAGCACAGTGGGGGGAAAGTGCCTCCGTGACAGGGTGTTCTGCCCCTTTAACGGCCAGAGGCCGGGGCCGGCTTGCCTTGGGCATTAACCAGGTGCAGCTGGAAGTGAGCTCCTGTCCCCAGAGAGCCGGGTGCCATGGAGGAGGGGAGAGCCTCGTGGGGAGCAGGCACGGCAGGGCGTCCCTGGGAAAGGTCTGGGAAGCCTGGAAAGAACCAGGCGTTGGAGCAGCCGTGGGGACTGAGCAGTGAGCTCTGGGTCGGGGGATTTGCGTGAGCTGTGGGCTGGGCGCCTAGGGGCTGTTTACACTCTGGGACAATAAATCAGCCCCAGGTAGGGGAACGATTAGACACTGGGGTCTTTTCAGAAGGTCGATGGGAGGAAACCGAGGCAGGCGCACCTGTTGTGCTGCCGGCGGCTGCCAGAGGGCGCCTCTGAGCAGGGCCGATTCTCCACCACATCTCCCGCCACACAGAGGGACCCAATACTTCCCCTCCTCCCACTCAGTGACATTCACCCTTCGGAAGCTGCAAGCGAGCGTCCCCCCGGAGCACCCTCGGGCTGGCGGGCTGGGGAACGCGCAGGCGGGATTGGCAGCCGCAGTGGGAGCTCCTCTGCTCTCAGGCCCGTCTCCGCTCCCTGCCGGGGAGGACGTGCACCGCGATGATCCCGGCGCTCAGGGCTCCCAGCACCAGCAGCAGGACGATCCCCTTGACGCGGCAGTAGGACAGTGAGGAGGCCGGAGCGGCTGTGGGAGCTAAACAAACAAAGGTGATGGTGTCAGTTCATGCAGGGGGAACTGGCATTGTCCCAAGCGCACAGCAGGGAAAGGGGTCGGGGTGCCTGGGAACCTGCCCCCCGCTCCATACAGGGCAGGACGAGACGCGGTGCAAACAGGGCTGAGTCTGGGCCGTGTCCCGCTGACCTCGGCTCCGGTCAGGGCCGGCTCTAGGCACCGGCGTTCGAAGCAGGTGCTTGGGGCAGCACTTTTCAAGGGGTGGCACCCCGGCCCTTTGGGGTGGCACATCGACGGCGGTACTCCGGGTTTTTTTTTTTTGCTTTGGCAGCAAAACAACTGGAGCCGGCCCTGGCTCCCGTGTCCCCTCTGGGAAATGGGGGTCAGAGGCCACATCCGGCCCCCACGGCGACAGGAGCCCCCCCTGTCCCCAGAGCGGGGCCCAGAGGGCTCTGATGCGCCCAAAACAGCCCGTTGGGCCCCCCACTCTGAGCCCCTCGCTCCGCCGGCTCCTCCCTGCGCCCCCCACCCGTG